AGGTACCCGTGTATGGGCCCCCCAAAATTTTTCCCGCGCAAATTCATAACTCGGGGTTCTGAGGTGCTAGAAAGCTGAAATTTTAGGGGAATGTTCACCGTCCAAGCAGATGCTAATGGGCTCAAATCCAGCCCCCGGGTAAGCGTGGTACCTACGTACAGGCCCCCGTCCAAGCAGATGCTAATAGGCTCAAACCCAGCCCCCGGGAGAGCGTGGTACCCGCGTATGGGCTCCCCAAAGTTTTTCCCGCGCAAATTCATAACTCGGGGTTCTGAGATGCTAGAAAGCTGCCCCCGGGTAAGTGTGGTACCCGCGTACGGGCCCCCCAAAATTTTTCCCGCATAAATTCATAACTCGCGGTTCTGAGAAGCGAGACAGCTGGAATCTTAGAGGGGTTGGTACCCGCGTATGGGCCCCCCGAAATTTTTCCCGCGCAAATTCATAACTCGGGGTTCTGAGATGCTACTACCTGCGTACAGGCCCCCCAAAATTTTTCCCGCGCAAATTCATAACTCGGGGTTCTGAGATGCTAGCCGCGTACGAGCCCCCCAAAATTTTTCCCGCGCAAATTCATAACTCGGGATTCAGAGATGCTAGCAAGCTGAAATTTTAGGGGAATGTTCCCCGTCCAAGCAGGTGCTAATGGGCTCAAATCCAGACCCCGTGTAAGCGTGGTACCCGCGTATGGGCCCCCCAAAGTTTTCCCGCGCGAATTCATAACTCGGGGTTCTGAGATGCTAGAAAGCTGAAATTTTAGGCGAATGTTCCCCGTCCAAGCATATGCTAATGGGCTCAAATCCAGCCCCCGGGTAAGCTGGTACCCGCGTATGGGCCCCCCGAAATTTTTCCCGCGCAAATTCATAACTCGGGGTTCTGAGATGCTAAGTACCTACGTACAGGCCCGTGAAAAGTTCCTTCCAGTAAGTTACTGACCCGGGTAAGCGTGGTACCCGATACTGGCCCCCCAAATTTTCCCGCGCAAATTCATAGTAATGTTCCCCGTCCAAGCAGATGCTAATGGGCTCAAATCCAGCTTCCGGGTAAGCGTGGTACCCGTGTACGGGCCCCCCAAAATTTTTCCCGCGCAAATTCATAACTCGGCCCGGGTAAGCGTGGTACCTGCGTACAGGCCCGTGAAAAGTTCTCTAATGGGCTCAAATCCAGCCCCCGGGTGAGCGTGGTACCCGCGTACGGACCCCCCAAAATTTTTCCTTAATGAGCTGAAATCCAGCCCCCGGGTAAGCGTGGTACCCGCTTGCGAGCCTGCCAAAGTTTTTTTCGGTAATGAGCTCAAATCCACACCCCGGGTAAGCTGGTACCCGCGTATGGGCCCCCCGAAATTTTTCCCGCGCAAATTCATAACTCGGGGTTCTGAGATGCTACACCCAAAATTTTTCCCGCGTAAATTCATAACTCGGGGTTCAGAGATGCTAGAAAGCTGAAATTTTAGGCGAATGTTCCCCGCGTACGAGCCCCCCAAAATTTTTCCCGCGTAAATTCATAACTCGGGGTTAAGATGCTAGTGTGGTACCCGCGTACGGGCCCCCCAAAATTTTTCCCGCATAAATTCATAACTCGCGGTTCTGAGAAGCGAGACAGCTGGAATCTTAGAGGGGTATGGTACCCGCGTACTTACCCCCAAAATTTTTCCCGCGCAAATTCATAACTCGGGGTTCTGAGATGCTAGAAGGCTGAAATTT